TACCGAATGTAATGGAAACAGCCTTTTATTTTGAACAGGCTGGAGTTGGCTTGAGCAAAGATGAATCCTATTACATATTCCTTGCCCTTAAAAACCTAACTAGTGTTCAGCCAATCCAGACCTGTCGCTTCTGGGGCAAGATTTTGGGCCTGGAAATGAACTATATTATAGCGGAAGCACAATTACGTGAAGGGGAAGAGGAGGAGGAAGCAGGAGAGGAAGTTACTGAGGAAGAAGTGAAAGGGATGGATGAGGTCGAAGAGCAAGATGAAGAAAAAGAAAAAGAAGATGAACCACCAAAGTCCACCTATAAACCCCCACCTGATATCCCAAAAGAAGAAAATGGGACTGGGGCTAATAAATATGTCTACTTTGTCTGTAATGAGCCAGGCAAACCCTGGGTGAAGTTGCCTCCAGTGACACCAGCCCAGATTGTCTGTGCCAGGAAAATCAAGAAGTTCTTCACTGGTCGGCTGCATGCTCCTGTTGTGAGCTTTCCTCCTTTTCCTGGAAATGAGGCCAATTACCTGCGTGCACAGATAGCTCGAATCTCAGCAGGAACCCACGTCTCTCCCACTGGATTTTACCAGTTTCCAGAAGAGGAAGAAGAGGAAGAAGGTGGGGACACATATGAAGAAAATCCTGAATTTGAGCCTCCTGCTGTGGCTGAAATGGTGGATTCTCTCTCCACGTGGGCACACCATGTAAAGAATATTCTGAAGCAGGTATGTGCTCAGCAGGTATGTGCTCACACCGAGCACCATTCGGATACCATTCACACTGCAGTACTTGTACAGTACAGAATGTCAATGACACTCCTCACCTGCACCTTCAAACTATGGTATTGGTCTGCAACGTTTTTATACAGAAGATATATTTTATATATAATATGTAAATATCTTGCACATGTACATATATATATATATTTAGGAACCTTCTAGATTTAGTACTTTTTTCAATTATGTGTTCTTGAGGTTGAAACCTATCTTTAGATAACAGTATGGAGTTAGGCCCTGATAACTATGATTTCTGGTAATCTTTTGTATTAGGTTCTCTGCGTTGACATCCTTACTTGACAAAAATGTTTAAAATTTTCCTTTCTTGGGTAGGATGCTAAAATGCAGATAGCTTTTAATTGTATGCTAAATTGAACTTATTTGTTTTTTTTCTTCTTTTTGTTTTATACTTTCTGCTGTAAAACATGCAAGTGAAAAAGCTTAAAAGCATGTGCTATCAGGCCTGTGCTAGAAAGAGGTATTACTAATTTGATGATCATTGCTGGATGGTTGGCTGGCCAGTCTACCAGTTCAAGAATGCTAGTGTAATATAACAGCAAATGGTAGGAAATGAGGTTTAAACTTACTACCAGCAAAACAATAGTTGTAAAAAATAAAGTTTATATGCACTAGAGTCTTAAGAACATGTTCCTCTGACTGGTAGCTAAATAACAAGGTAGATTTTAAAGGAAGAGGTAAAGTCCATAAGTTAAGCCTCTTAGTTTGCAGTAACTGGTAGTCTAGCAAGGATATAAACGAAACTGGTCAGGAACTGAAGACTACAAAATCACAAAAAACTAATGGCAGAGGTATGAGGTTATTCTCAAATATTAAGCAGGGATGAATGAGGAAGGAGGGAGGAAAGAGGAATATAGGAAATGCTCTGCCAAGAGGATACAATATTCTGCCAACAATATACCGGTTATGGAATACATATTTTTCTTCTCCCTATCCCTTAACTCTGTGTGTGTGTCTGAGCCAATTGTTTTAACTGGCTTGCATTCTTTCAGTGATTGTTACATGTATTTATTATTTTTCCGTATCAATTATAGGGTCGCTGTGTTTGGATTAATCCTCAAAAATTAGAGGAAAAAAATGAAGAAGAGGAAGAGGAGGAAGAGGAGGAAGAGGAGACGGATGAGCAACAGGCAGAAACAGGACCACCCCTTCTTACTCTGCTGTCTGAAGATGAAGGTATTCTTCACGGAACATGAAGTTTTTGATAGAGAGCAACTAGGAATGTTGGCATTTAGGTAGTAAATATTTCAAGTTATAGGACTCTGGCACTTTTTGAAGGAATATAGTTTGCCCCTGTGGGGTAAACACATTCTTTTAGAGAATCAATCAAAAGCAAAACGGTTAACAGTATTGACATTAAAACTGAAATAATCAGGTTTACTAGGTAACAATCTTTTGAGATTAAAGGGAAAAAAAAACTTAGACTTGTCAGGTTATTGCATATTCAGGACAGCTGAAATACATTCAGCTATTTTTACCTCATCTTTTTAGGGCAAAAAAAAAGTGTATGTGCATGTGTAAATAAATTAATTAATTAATATGTACACACATATACTGATATTCGGTATTTGTATAAACATTTAGATGTTTTAGCATATTACTGCAGCAAATCATGGGAACAAGGGAGCCTGAATATTAGATTACATCAATATTAAATTATTTTCCTACTCTCCATTCTTTAATGGAGCTGAAATATAACTATATAATGTATCCATAAGTGCTAAAAAGTCCTTGACAAAAGAAACCAGGGTTAATGCTACTGAATTTGAGTAGCACTCCTGTGGGTCTCTTAGAATTCCTATGCTACCTGCTCATACATTCGAGCCACTTGTTCAAATACAGTTTATTGTTTCTGACTTTTGGGTCTTCTAACATGCAACTTAAATATAACTGTTGCTTGAATTCCTTAAGTCTTTCTGTAATTCTGAAAATCTTGTAGCTCAGTCTTAAATGTTTTGTAGAGGCTTCTAAGTGCGTTTATTCATAGACAGTGTGTGTTTGGCTGCCTCCAGGAATTAAAGACATCCCTGCTTGGACAGCTCAGCATTCTACAAACCTGATCCCACAACACTCTGTTGCAATTATCCAGTCTAACCGGTGGCCTGGAGCATATGCCTTTGCATCTGGCAGGTGAGAATCTAGTTGACATGGTTACAACACAGACTGTATATGCTACACACAGGCACCTGGCAAAGTTGCTTTATTATTAATTCATTGACTGAATTCTAACTATTCCAGAGACTGATGGAGAAGGCCACTTGAATGTGCACAGCAACAGTAAATATGTATTTAAGAGTGAAAACAAATAATCATTGGAAAGACTGGTATAAAGTTAGTGGATGTAAATGTCCAGTTAGTATTTGGGCACAGTCCTTGATTTAAAACCCGTGTTCTTGGGTCTGTGGTACTTTCTACAAAAACATCTACATTCTGTGGTTCTAATGTTCGTTTGTTTCCACTACAAATAGTACAGTCGTGACCTCCACCTGCTTTTAAAAAGGCACTGGAGTTGGTGTCAGAAGTGGCGCTATGTTGTTACCCAAGTGAAGTTGGAGTCATATTGCAATATAGTGCAGTGACACTTCATCATTTTAAACAGAAGATGTATTAATCAACCATTAGAGCAGTTAAAAAGAGGTGCCATCTTTTAAGTTCTTCTGTTATAGGATATCTGTAACTTTTTGCGCAGCAGAGTAAGGAAGCCTGACAGTATCTCTGCTGATATTTTGTCAGGGGCTGAATGTTTTCTTTCACTTCTCTTTCTCAGGAAATTTGAGAACATCTACTTTGGCTGGGGTCACAAATACAGTCCAGAAAACTACACTCCCATCCTGCCCCCACCAGTGCAAGAAGAATATCCCAGTGGTCCAGCGATCACTGAGGCAAGAGACCCCACTCTGGAAGAGGAACTGGCTTTCAAGGCTGCGCAGGAAGCTTTAGCTGCAGGTGAAGAAGAGGAAGAGGAAGAGGAAGAAGAGGGGGATGATTAAAATGTGAGGGAAAACATTGTTTTAAAACTTTAAACATGAATAGTATTTTCATGATGTAGTCATTAATTTGTTGACCTTAAAAGAAATGCAATTGGAGCATACCTTCTTTTTTGATTTCTCTAGGCTTCTCTTTGCATCTACCTTCCACTCCTTCTCCACCCCTAAAGCCCTTCATGAAGACTGTGCAATGAATGTCTTAGCCTTTTTCTTAGATGACTGTGCATTCTGCTTGCTAAAATGATATTGATTTAAACTAAGAACTATAATCCACCAAATGTTCACAGTTTTTCTAACCCTTACTTCAGTACATTTTAAATAAAAAAAATTATAATCACATAACAGTGTGTGAAATGTGTGCTTTTGTGTGTGAAAGCATACTGTTTAGATCAGTAGACAGCTTATCGAGGTAGTGGCCAAGTGCATGGGGATGACACTGATCAGCAGCACTGCTGAGGCCGTGCTTCGAATCTTGTGTTCAGTTTTGGGCCCCTCACTGCAAGAGAGACGTTGAGGTGCTGGAGTGTATCCAGAGAAAGGCAACAGAGCTGGTGAAGGGTCTGGAGCACAAGTCTGATGAGGAGCGGCTGAAGGAGCTGGGGGTGTTTATCCTGGAGGAGGCTGAGGGGTGACCTTATCGCTCTCTACAAGTACCCGAAAGGAGGTTGTAGCCAGGTGGGGATCAGCCTTCTCCTCAGTTACAAGCGATATAGGAAGAGCAAACAGCCTCAAGTTACGCCAGGAGAGGTTTAGATTTGGATATTGGGAAAAATTTCTCTATGGAAAAGGGTGCCATGGATAGGAAACGGCTGCCCAGGGCAGTGGTGGAGCCACTATCCCTGAAGGTATTTAAATGACCTGTAGCTGTGGCATTTCAAGACACGGCTTAGCGGTGAATACGGCGGTGCTGGGTTTACGGTCAAACTCGATACTCCTGGAGCCTTTTCCCGGGGCAGCCAACCCTCCATCCCCGCACCACGGCCGCGCCAACGCACCCGCTCGCCTCCCTGGGCGGCACCACCGCAGCGCTGCCGGCAGACGGGAGGGGGGGGTTCACGGTAGAGCTCAGGGGCTGATCAGCCTGTCCCTCACTGCGCTTTCCTTGCCCGTCTCCCTCGCTCCTTCCCCCCTCCCCCAGCTGCTGGCGAGTGGTACGCTCCGCGTGCGGCTTCCGTCCCACGTGGGCCAATAGGGAGCGGTCTCTGGAGCAGTTCAAACTGCGGTGGCGGTTGGGGCGGGTGGTGCTTGTCCAGAGCCGTGTCGGGTCCCTGTCCCGGTTCCCGGTCTCCCTTGTCCCGGGCGGGCATGGCGGACGAGGGCGCGGTCACGGTCTGCGTGCGTGTGCGGCCGCTCATCGCCAGGTGAGGCTCCGGGCAGGCGGGAGGAGGAGGCTGCAGCGGCGTTTACCCCGGAATGCTGCCGTGCTCCTCGCACCGGGAGGGGACCGGGGCAGGAAGACGGTGTCTATCCCCGTGGCGGAAGGAGGGATCCAGATCCCTCCGGGGTAGAGGGTGTCGCGGTCAGGGGTCCATGTTACGGGAGAAGAGCCCTGGCCCAGTGAAGGTAACAGAGTATCTTTTTCTCTTAGAGAAAATGCTTCAGGAGATAAAGTGTCCCTGCATTGGAAGAGCGAAAATAATACTGTTTCCGACGTGAATGGTACCAAAATATTTAGTTACGGTAAGAATGTGAAAGCAACTGCTTTGCTTTGATGCTTATGCGGACCTCCGCTACTGTACTGCTTGAACGTGTCGACGTGAGTGCCCTGAGCTTCCTGCAGTGTCCCTCAACTTTTCCAATTTCATAATTCTGAAGCAATGTCGTTGAGGCACAGAGGATTTCTGGTTTAGGCAACAGTGGGAATGTGCTTTTGAAGTCAGCTTCCTGGTGGACGTTGCTTTCTCTGTTCTGATTTATGCTCTAATGGCTTTGGAACACATGAACTCGATTCTTTTCATATGAAATCCAGTTACAGACTAGACCAGGGCTAGCCCTGAGCATTTAGGGAGAAGGGGGTGGGAGGTAGTGAGTTGACCGTGGCTGGTTGCCAAGTACCCACTAAAGTCACTCTCTCACTCTCCCTCTGCAACTGGACAGAGGAGAGAAAAAAAACAGCTAAGGATTCCTGAGTTGAGATAGGAGCTGGGAGAGGTCACTTACTGATTACCTTCACGGGCAAAACAGACTCAAACTGGAGATATTAATTGAATTTATTACTAACAGGATCAGAGCAAAAGAGTGAGAAGTAAAATAATCTAAAAAGACCTTCACCCCACCCCTGCTTCCTTCCATGCTCTCCCTCCTCCCCGCCAGCAGTGCAGGGAGACAAGGAATGGGGGTTATGGTGAGTTGTTGTTTCTGCCGCTGCTCAGGAAGAGGAGTCCTTCCCCTGCTCCCGTGGGGTCTCTCCCACAGGACACAGTTCTTGATGGACCTCTCCAGCGTGAGTCCATCCCTCGGGCAACAGTTCTTCATGAAATTGCTGTCCCGTGGGTCACTCCTCCATGGGGTGCAGTCCTTCATGAATGAGCTGTACCAACATGGGTCCCCCACAGGGGCCACAAGTCCTATTGGGGAAAAACCTGCTCCAGCATGGGCTTCCCTCTCCACAGGCTGCAGGTCCCCAGCAGGACCCTGCTCCATCTTGGGCCTCCCACAGAGTCACAGCCTCCTTCAGATATCCACCTGCTCCAGAGTGGGCTCCTCCATGGGCTACAGGTTGATCTCTGCTCCCTGATGGTCCTCCATGGGCTGCACGAGGATAATTAACCTGTCTTGTCTGATTTACAATCCTCAGATATAAACTAACCATTAACTATACTAAATAGGATGACTGTTTAACTGTTTCCTCCATTCTTACAGTTTTATTACTTATCTGTCATCTGTGCATCACATCTTTCTTGGTTTTGTGTTTAGTATTTATTTTAAAATAAAATTCTAAAAGCCTGATTAGTAGTGCCACAATGATATTTTATGTTTGAATTACTCTACAAACAGTGATGCATATTTATTGGATTTGAAGTCAGTGATACTGAGTAAGATGATAGGTTGGTTTTGACTTGCAATACAAGGGATTCACATGCTTTATTTTAATTTGTTTTTAAGATCGTGTCTTTCACTCCAGTGACAACACTCAGCAGTTATATGATGGTGTAGCTGTTCCAATTATACAGTCAGCTGTGCGAGGTTATAATGGTAAGTTTTAAAACTATGTTTAAATCCTGTTTGTAAAGTGTTTTAGAAATAGTTGGTAAAACTCTACTACCTTTCTAGGCACAATTTTTGCTTACGGACAGACTGCTTCAGGGAAGACTTACACAATGATGGGAAATGAAGATTCTGCGGGCATTATCCCTAAGGCAATTCAACATGTTTTCAAAATTATTTGTGAGGTGAGCAATTCCATTAAATTGAAGTGACTGAAAGGACTAGAAATATTTGTGATCATTACATAAAAGTTAATTTTAGTATCAAGGAGCTCATGAAGGAAGTGAATTTATATTAGACTATATGTTGCAGTTGCTTTTCTAGCCTGGAAAAGATGAGTGGTTTAAAACAAAAAGCTAATGGGACTTTAGTTGAAATTAAATCAGAGCAACACTGACGCGGGTTCTTAAACTTGCAAATATGTTCAACATTGATTACAAGTATAAATAGATACTCACTTTTTCATGTGGTAGATAAGGTAACATGAAGCTTTGTGTTCTGCTATTTTAAAAGTCTAAAAAATTAACAGCAATAAAGACTTTTCTTGGTGGGAAGAATATGACACTATATTTACTTATTTCAGACTTACAAAAGAATTGCTAATTGCTCAAGGTTAATAAAAGTAAGGAGAAAGTGTAAGTTAAAACAGTGATTTCTAAAACATGATTTGTAGAGCACTTGCTTCTGCCTTGAGGGTATCAGGTAATGGTTATCAGTTAAGTGAAATGCTCTCTGCTTCTTTAAGGAGGTGCAGGGTACCTTGGGAGGTTTATGAAAGTAACTGAAGCCAAGAAAACTTTCCCTGAGTCCATTGTGCAGCCTTTCCTCACTCCAATATTCTCTACCAGGGAGGTAGGGGAAGAAGCAGCAGCAAAGTAAATCCAAACAAGCAGAGAGAGAAGACAAGGGTACACAGAGAGGAAAGAGCCTAAGAAGGAGGAAATTGGTTATGAAAAGGGTATTTAAGTGGGAAAACTGTTCTCATGCTTCTGTGGGGCAGTTATCTTAATTTTACAACCTATTAGAAGTGGTATATCTTTAATGCAACTGGAAAGAGGTGGTATAGAAGAAAAATTATTCTGTATTGGTAGATGCTAATGCTACATAGAGGATGAGGGGAAAGAAATCTGTAGAACAATATCCAAACATACATCTCTGAGTTAAGAATACTTGCATTAAAAGATATTCATCAGTTAGTCTGTTAATAATTTTTTTTTTCTCTTTCAATGTTAGATCCCAGATAGAGAATTCTTGCTAAGAGTTTCTTACATGGAAATCTATAATGAAACCATTACAGATTTGCTTTGTGACAGTAGGAAAAAGAAGCCTCTGGGAATTCGTGAGGACATTAATGTAAGTGGATCTTATGTAATGTAAGTGTTGTATCTGCTTGTAGTAAAAGAATTTGAAAACAAAATGCCTTCAGAGGCATCTAATTGAAAGCTTTTCTGGGTCAAGTTGTGTAATTGTATCCTCAGCATTAGCAGAAGGACACTTGATATAGTAGAATAACAACAGTGACTTTGGGCTTTCTGTAGCTAGTTTACCTTTTTCAAAGTAGATACACTTTTCTTCTGCTACAATCATGGAATAACCATGAGACGGGGACTATTCAGTAAGATGATCACCATAGAAAAAGAAATCTACTTTAATGCCATGTTCAGTTTCTTTATATAAAGTTTTGTAGCAAATAATAAAAATTGGTTGATTGTTGTTTTGGTTGTTTTGTTGTTTTTTTTTTCATTTTGATGCCCTAAACAATGTATGTTTTTGGAATATGGGAAGAAGAGAAATTTACCAGTTGTATGATTATATCCTTATAACATTTACTGAAAAATATATTCCTGGATTCTCTCAGAAGATGTCCAGAAGGATATTTCCCCCAGCAGTTCTGTTTTTTGGAAACTTTCTAAATCTCTGGGTTTTGATTCTTGTGCCTTTAAGCCACAGTTTTGATGAAGGTCTAAACTTTACCCATCCCTTGTGTTTGGAGTAAAAAGACATTCAGCTGTTGAATAAATAGCATAATAATTGCTGGTTATGTTAACTTTATGTATTGAAGTGAGTTTTGGAGTTCAGGAGAATTTATGACTGTGTTTATTCTATAGAGGAATACATATGTAGAAGATCTGATTGAAGAAGTAGTGGTTGCCCCAGAACAAGTTATGGAATGGATAAGAAAAGGAGAAAGTAAGTTATTTAGCCACTGTCAGCTGATATTTAAAAAAAACATGGATGGATCAGGTATATCTAGAACCGTGGGGTATCTTTTTGAGTTTATATTCAGAAATCAGTGTTTTTGAGAAAGTTTTAAAATTATGCTTTTTTTCTATTTATCTCCATTTTATCAAAATAGAAGCAGAAGTATTTTAATATTGTTTTTGGCAGGAAATCGCCATTATGGAGAAACAAAAATGAATGAGCACAGCAGCCGTTCTCACACGATCTTCAGAATGGTAAAAACTGCTTCACTATTAGGAGTGGTTGTATTGTTTTCAAAGTGACAAAAACTTGATTGCACTTTACTGCATTTCTAGATCATTGAAAGCAGAGAACGAAGTGACCCTGCAAATGCAAACTGTGATGGAGCAGTCATGGTTTCCCACTTGGTAAGTGTCTAATGGTTTCTTGGAGTACAGCTTAGCTAGAGAATTTACTGTTACCACTTGTCTGAGAGAATAATGATACTTCATAATGACTTACAAATATCCTTTGTTGTTAACTTCTAGCAGACATTTCTTCAGTATAGAGGGAGACCCCTGGGGCATTACCTAGAGGATAACTTCCCACTGAAGGAAATGCTGACATGGGAATTACTTATGCTGGACTGGGGAGTGTTACGTAGCCCTTCCAGGAGCCGAAGGGGCTATGTCAGAGTGCTCTTGCATTTTGTTAAGTACATCTTCCCCTACAATTGTTTCTGACCACCCACAAGCTCAGTTAAATAACTTGTAAAATGGGTAACCTTAAGACTTCTCTTATCCTCAAATTTAGTTGTTGTTAAAAGAACATTTGCCTTGCAGCTCCAATGACCAGAAGATTAATTTTTTTCACAAGTAACCCCTCTTAGCATCTCTTTGCTGGATTTTTGGTATATGAAGTATCATAAACTGGGGGGAATACAACTGCTGATCTCTAGGGGAGTGTTATGGTTTCAGAAGCCTTCTCTACAGCCTTTTCTTGATTCTCAGAAAATAATCTCAAAAACTGGAGGAATGGAATCAGTATGAAACCATTTGAGCTTGCTAAAATCTGCAAAAGCACTCTGGAACTGGCAATAGCATTAATCACATGCATTGTGGAAAGGGCTTTCTGTTTTGGCTTCATGTGAAAAAGCTCAGAGTCTGAAAGTAAACACTGCTCAGGCACTATTTCAGCAAGCTACTACCTCCTTTTTTTCTTGCCATAAGTTATGGTATCTACTCTTCTTACACCACCCCTACCCTTTGGCCTGTTCCACCTGACCTTATACTAACCTTTACTACCTGGGGCAAGGGGAGAGGTTTTTGGCCTTTTTGGTCTGTTGCTGCTTGATGGAGTCAGTAGAGGATTTTACCCTTCTGAAACAAAAACCAGCTAAAGTGAGGGCTACTTGCTCAGGCAAATCATTATGGGTTGTTGTGAAGTTCTAATTGACTTTGAACCTGATTCAGAGGGAGGCTTTTCCTCTGGTATTTAATTTCTTCTTTTCTGTATCCCCACAGTGACAGGCAAGGAGAGACATACAGCTGATTCAGGACAGTGTGCTAGATAATCTCATCTAGGCTCTTTTTTCCATGAAAGATTCCTATGGCTTGAATTAGTAGCTAAGCACAGTTTCTCAGTACAGAAGTATCATCTTTTTGTTACTGAGGGTAGGGGTTCTTGCACTGCAAGTTTGAAATACTGTTTGGGGTGGTGTAATAGAGTTCATACAAACTTATTCTGAGTACTTTTGTACCTTGAAAGTATGGGTTGATGTGTGTATAGCAGCTATGGTTACTTCCAATAATGACAGACCTCTTGGGGTTTTTAAGTGTAACTGCGGTTTATGAAATTCTCAGCAGAGATTTAGAGTTAAGAGGATTTAAACTAAATTTTCTCAGAACTAACCTGTGAAATATTTAATAAATTTGCAGAACTTGGTAGATCTGGCAGGCAGCGAAAGAGCTAGTCAAACAGGATCTGAAGGTGAGTGTTAAATGGGGCTCTCCTGATGACCATTTCTGTTAATTTACTCTAACAAGAGACTATGATAGGAAATTCTTTGATCTATGTGCTATTGTGTTACTTATTGTTTATAAATAAGCTATTTTCCCCTTGGTAGAGCAGGTTCTACTCAGGAAAATACTGTAAGTGCTGTGAAGTGCAAACAATTAAGTAGTAATATTCCTTTTCTAGAGTAGCAGGCCTGGCAACAGTCATGCACTGAACTAATAGAATGGAGATGACTCAGTAAAGATTCACCTGTGATAACAAAATCACTAGAAGCTTTTTAGGGACTTGTATATAAAAGTGAAGAGGGAGTAGATGGCTTGTTCTTTAGCTATTGAGAAGCTTGGCTGTTAAAAGTGACAGCATGAAGCTGCACAAAAATGTCTTTATCAGAAAAAAGAGATCTGAGAGGGACACAAGTAAATATTCTCTCTTATGAAGAAAGACTAACCCAAAACTTGTATTGAAGGCTGGTTTGTTATGCATGTAAATGTTGCAATTGCAAAATTTAAACAGGAAACAAAATTAAAGTTCTTATAGCACCACCTACTTACTCTATAAAGGTTCTAAATGTTCATTTGTGATTACTCTCCCACTTCGATGCTTTTTGGCTATTATGAAGGATTTGATACTGCCTGCTGATGGCTCATAGTGCACTGTGGCACTTGAGATTCAACTCTTGGATAATCCTTCTGAGCATAAGATAGCACACAAGCTTGACAGGTTGAAAACGTGTCTTAATGTTTTAAATTTAAAATAATAATAATAATTAAAAACATTACTGTGTGGTACCTAGGTGTCCGATTGAAAGAAGGCTGCAATATAAATCGGAGCTTGTTCATTCTGGGTCAAGTTATCAAAAAACTTTGTGATGACCCTTCTGGGTAAGCAACTGTTCATACGCCTGTTATAAGATAAGTCACTACTAAACTAAGAAATTAAAATCCTTTATTTATAATACTTTGTAGGTGACTGTTTCAAATAACCTGTTATCTCTAGAAAATATATTTACTGCGAGTTTCTTCTATGCAAAAATCTGAATGATTTTTTTTTCTTTCCTCTTTTTCATTAGCTTCATAAATTACAGAGACAGCAAGCTGACTCGAATTCTGCAGAACTCCCTTGGAGGAAATGCTAAAACTGTTATTATTTGTACAATTACTCCAGTTTCTTTTGATGAAACACTCAGTACTCTTCAGGTAAAGCTTCTCACCTGTTCTCCAGCACTATTCTGGCTGAAGGCTTTGTTGTAGATAGGGGAGGGTGGAAAATGTAATCTGATGGATCTTTAATGACTTGGATCTTCTAAAGGGCTTCTGTGGACTCAGAATTTGAAATATTTGTTTTGTATACAGAACCTTTTCAGAGTCATCATTTTGTATTAGGTTGTCTACCTAGAGCTTTCTGGGAGTTGGAACAAAGCTCCTTCTCTTGCAGGCAGGAGATAACCTCTCTTCTCATTTGCCTTTTCCAAACACAGTTAGAACAAGTCTTTGCTAACACAAGATTTAAGACAGGTACTACAGGAAAGGAGAGTAATTGAACTGTTAAAGAACACTGTTCTGTAGGTAGGATTGTGTTCCTTTTTGGTGGTCTTTTGAGCTTTCTATTAAATAAAAATAATGTGGGATATATTTGCTTGAATGTTATGCTTCATGTTTTAGATATTAATACCAAGCAAAGAAAACTTACTTTTCAAATCTCAGAATACATGAAAAATAAACCAATTTTGATATTTGTGTCCCTATTATATGCTGCTCTTTATCTAATAAACTCTCCCTTTAATTCTGTTGGGAAATATGGGACAGAGTAAGTCTTTCTAGAATATTTGTTCTCGAACTATTGCCCATGAAAGCATATTCTTTCAGTTTGCCAATACAGCCAAAGGAATGAAGAATACACCAAAAGTCAATGAAGTACTTGATGATAATGCCCTCCTGAAGAGATACCGAAAAGAAATTGTGGACTTGAAAAAGCAGCTGGAGGAAGTGTGTAATAAACTTCTTAAAATTAATCTATCTGTAGCACTGATAGCTGTTTTGAAACTACCTGTTTTAAACCAAAAGCAGTTAAATTTGCAGGAGTAGGTAAAGTGTTTAAAGTGATATGTCATTTTTATTGAGAGAATAGAAGTTGAAAAGATGATGTATAGTCTAGAACAACGGATAATAGTCCATATATCTGTGAAAGCTAACACTGAGATCAACTAAGAGAATTGCTTTCTTTCACTAGGTTAATATAATTAAGAAATAGAAATTTGTCACGCATTATAGCACACTTTAACAGATCAAAATTAATTGCAATATAAGAAGTTACTGAATGTCCATTAAAGATCACAACTTAATCCATACTTTTTTCCCCCTTACTGATGTTTAACCTTAGTTGGAGTTGCAAGAAGTTGCAACTGCATTAAGATCACTGGCAAAACTTAGGTCACGTAAAGTCGGAAGATACATTTAGAAAATGAACAATAGTAACTTCCCACAAAACAGTGTAATCTCCCATATGTTCATCTTTCTCTAAAAATCTATGTAGTTGTGGAGCAATCTTGCAAGTCTTGTTAGAGCATAGATGTTAAAACATAAAGCACCGGAAAAAAAACAATGCTGAACATACTGTTGTGGTGAATAAAATCAAAGTATGCACATATATTATGTTGCAAATTATAAATATCCTTAGAAAAAAATTTATGAAAAATAACTGACCTCTTATTTTTAACAGTAATTAATTTGCACCTGGGAGTACGTTTGCTATCTTCTGAGATAGTAAGTAGTGAGGAAAGTAGTACAGAAAAGTTTGTTGGGAAATTCCATGTGACTTTGAATTAGTCTACAGCATTGTAAGCTTATGATAAAGTTGTCAAAAAACAGCTGTTACTTTCAAAACAAGACATTTTCAGTACTCGGATTTAAAGAGACCACATGCATTAGAGTAACTTGCTGTTACTTGACAATTGAATCGTAGTTCTGAAAGAGTTTCAGGCTTCTGGCACCACGGGAAGGTCATCTAATCTATGTTATATTTGAAAGAATGCTTTTTTTTTTTTTATGCCTAGAAAAATCTGAGGCTGTATTGTTTCTGGGAGTTTTGACCCCTTTTAAATACTTAGTCTGCGGGTAAATTGTAGACGAAGTTGTTAGTTTCATTATGAAAGACTAAAGACTCCTCTTCCAGGTTTTAAAGAATATATGTGTGTAGTTGTTTTTAAATACCAGTAATTGTGTCTCTTCCATAGGAGTAGTTTGTGCTCTTAAAATGTCAGTTTGATTAATATTCTTTTTATGGAAGGTGTCGGTAAAGACTCAAATTCATGCAATAGAAAAGGACCAATTGGCCCAGCTGCTGGAAGAAAAAAATTCTCTCCAGAAAGTACAGGAAGACAAGATACGAAATTTAACTGAGATGCTGGTGACCGCTGCTTCCTTTGCCTCAAAAGACAATGTTAAAGTAAGCACCTGTTCTAGATCTTACTTGACGACTCTGAAATACTTTGTGAAAGGTTATATTAAAAACATAGGGTTATACTGACAATGAAGAATAAGTATGATAAGCAATTTTCACTTTTTTCCCATATTTTTAGGAGGCTAACTTATAAAATAACTTCCAAGTATAATTCAGTATTGCTTTGTAGTGAAAAGACTGCAGACACTTTTCCTTTCAAACTACCATGCTGTAAATTTTGAGGAACCTGCAAAACCCTGTCTAGTTAGCTGCAGGTACTGTTGCAGAACTAGCCTAATGCAACATTTACTCTCTACCTACTGGTTTGATTTTTATCACTTTTCTGTAAATGCTTTTTTAAAGGCCAAGAGAAGAAGAAGAGTTACTTGGGCTCCTGGTAAAATAAAACAGGCAAATGTGAGCTATTTTGAAGACTTTGAAAAAGACATGCCAACTGAAACAAAAAAAATGAAAACGTCTCTGTCGGCATTACCAGATGCAGACGATTGTAAGTAACCTCAGGAAAAAATAAGGAAAGTCTGCAAAGCAGCTTTGAAATCAGAAATAATTCCTTTTTAATAGATCTAAGTTAAAAAGCAAATCAATTTGTTAACAATACAAAAGCTAAATTTAGTTGCCGCTGTACTCAAATAATATTCCATGTTTATCTTCCAGAAAAGAATGCTGCCAGGAAGGGAAGTGGATTTAGCACACTAATTATGGTCATTCTTGTGTTGGAAATAAGGTTCATTTTATTTAAAAAGTGGGAGCATAGTTGCTATCCCAGGTGAAATAATGTGTAGCATGGCCAGCAGGTCAAGGGAAGTCATTCTGCCCCTCCCTTTACTCTGGTCTCGTGAGACCTCAGCTGGAGTGCTGTGTCCAGCTCTGGGGTCCCCAGCACAGGAAGGACATGGACCTGCTGGAGCGAGTCCAGAGAAGGCCACAAAGATGATCAGAGATATGGAGCACCATACCTCTCCTATGAGCAAAGGCTGAGAAAATTGGGATTGTTCAGCTCGGAGAAGAGAAGGCTCTGGGGTGACCTTATTGTGCCTTTCCAGGATCTGAAAGGGGCCCACAGGAAAGCTGGAGAGGGCATGTAGCGACAGGAGAAGGGGGAATGGCTTTAAATTGGGAGTGGGTTTAGATTGAATATTGGGAAAAAAATCCTAATTGTGAGCATGGTGAGGCACTGGAACAGGTTGCCCAGAGAGGTTGTGGTTGCCCCATCCCTTGGAAGCATTCAAGGCCAGGTTGAATGGGGCTTTGAGCAACCTGGTCTAGTGAAAGGTGTCTCTGCCCATGGGGGGAGGGGAGATGCAACTAGATGGTCTTTGAGGTCCCTTCTAACCCAAACCATTCTGTGGTTCTATGAAATTCCTGATAGATAAGTTTGCAAGCATTGCATTACTTAATTTCCCAAAGAGAATAAGTTGATTCTGGATTTGGTTTAGTATTCATTAGCTTGTGATATGGTGGTCAGCATAAGCGTAGAGACTGGACTTCAGTGGTGTTCCCTTTCATAACAGAAAATCATGAGTCAGAACTCCTACTCAGTGTACTATGTTTTGCCACTGAATGACTATTTCCAATGTCTTAAAATTGTTTTGTAAGAAAATTCCTGATGTCTAGTTTAAAATCTACTCATACTTTTTTTAATATATCTTTCTTTTCAGCTATGTTAGATAATTCTGAATGTGACAACCAATCTCTGCTGGTTCCTGATCAAATTTCAGAAGTAGAATGGATCGCTGGACCTAAAATGACTTGGGTAACATCATAATCTGTTTCAGTTGTAATACTGTGCATATGCATATATCCATAATATACTTCTCAGTAAGATCAACCTTACTGTTCTGTGGGACACCAGTATTATTCTACGTGTCTGCAGAATTATTATAACTGGTTAGAAAGTAAGTCTCTTGGACATCTCTGCAAAACTGTGGGATGGTTCTATGCTTCTATGCATTTGTGGCAAATGATCCAGTAAACTTTGGTATATAGACAGGACTAACTGTGAAAAGCCAAGCAACAAAGAATATAATACTCAACTTCATCTTGTAGATCTGTTAATTGAGAGTGATTCTTTTTCTAGACTCAAAAAGACTTTGAAGAATCTGTGCAACTCTGTGAAGCGATAGCACTTGAAAAGGTAGGTCTGTTCTGAATTTTCTAGAAATAAGACTGACGTTCCAGCAACAGCTTCTAAAGTTTCCTGTGCTGCTTCTTCAGGATATTGCTGTAAATAAGGCCAGCATCCTGCAAGCTAACCTGGATAACCTAGTGTTGGAAAATGAGCAGTTGAGATTAGAAATAAATGAAATAAAGGAGAAACTGAGGGAAAAAAAAGAAATAGATGAATTTGAAGCACTGGAAAAAGAAACTCAAAAAGATCATGAGGTAAGGTGCATTGAAATAGATATGAATTCTCTATGCTCAAATGTTTTCTAGAGTTTATTCAGTGTACATGGACTTGGATGTTGATTCACAAACAGCTACATTTGCCAACAGAATGAATGAACCCAGGATTTAAACTGGATTTACTTGGAGTGTAAAATTCAGACAAATTTTTGGCAACTTGTATATGGTTAAATGTATATTAGTGTGTATGTCAGTATGTATCTATATATTATTTTTATATACACATGATCTGAATTTCACTCAGACTTCAGTAAGGCAGTTGTTTTGCTGCTTAAATACATTTTAGACCTGTTTTGAAGTTAAAGTGTGATTGCTAAACTATATTTCACATCTTTCTTGTGCACAGCGTCTTGGTTTACTAGATAGCTCTGGCTTTTGGTAATCCATGGACTGTGTGAGCATTAACTTTTAACATACTATTTAACTTCATCATGAAATATTTTAAAATAATAGTGTGAATACTAATGTCTGGAAAATTGAAACGTATTTTGTGCCAGGAAGTAAAAAAAATCATAAACTTATCTATTGGATAACTTATGATATAGGAAATGCTGATTTTCAGTTCTCTTCACCTCCTTGTGCAGTTAGTGGAGTATCTTGTTTGTCCAAATGTTTTATGCTCTGATTCTGTAACTTTAAATACATATTAATTGTATTAGGTTCTAGCTGCCCAAAGGCTAGACTGTGAAATAAATTAATGCCCAAAGAAAACCCAAAACCAGCAACCTGAGGTATTGAGACATGGATGTATTATTCTGTTTCTTTCCTGGTGCCTTTGCTGGAGTTTACTTGTCCACATCAGACTGTTCAATATCCTCTGATCATGACACTAAGGTTGATGTTTGTTACCTCCTCTTGCAGTGTTGTTTCAGGTTACAATTTAACAATATCACTTCTTAGTTTCATTGTGTTCCCTACAAAGATTTATGTACCTTAAAGAAAATGGATCCATAAGATATTATAATTTATTTTGTATCTAAGATTCTTTTTAGAAGACCCTTTGTATGCTGGATTAATTGTGGTATCTGCCTTAGCCAATGTTTAACAAATCCTCAGTTACACAAAAACTTTGCATGGAAAACTGTATCTAATACAAATGCAGTGTCCTAAAGTAGTCTCTATTACAAGAATTGCTTTTTGAATGATTCAAGTTTTATGGACCTGAATACAGTCCATAAAATGTAAGCATTTACTGATGCCCATGTAGTAGATTAATTACAGCAATATTGAAAGGTCACATACTTCACTACATACATTAGTTGAAATCCATCAGTTTATAAAAGTAAATTGCATAAGAATACTCACAGGAAAGCACTTGCTTTAAAGCTTTTCACTGATCTTAAAATTACAGATTGGATTTTCTCCTTACCTATGCTTGTGACTATACAGAAGTACTTGTAGATGGGTGCTTATTGTAAAGCTTTTCTAACAAAGACCAAAAGAAAGGAGGTCTTAAATTTCAGAAGTGCCTTTCTATGTAGTCTTCTACTTGTACCTTCTTTCAGAGAATGCCACTGAATGTGTTCATGGCTTGCTTTACTTCAATTTTGGCACCTTCTCATTCCTGTTAGTGAATAGATTAAATCATAAATAACTGCACTGTGTCACAAAAAGCTGCTTAACATGACTAGAATTTGTGTCCTGTCTGTACAATTTCTCCATGAATTGCTTTGACCGCATCGCTCTTGCTTCTCAAGCTATTGTAGATAGCTCAAATCCTTTCTAATTACTGGGAAGCTAAAAACAGAGCTTTGCATCTTATCTATCCATTTGAAAGAATATGTAGCATCTTGCTTTGTAGCTGTTTCAATAGATGTGTGTATGTATATATGGTTTGCCCACTACTACAGAAGAAAACACAAGATAGACCTTGCTTGTTTTCATGGTGTTGGCGACTAAAAACTATTGGTGTGGGTGCTTTCTAACATCCTCTGCAATTTTGCTTCAATTTGCTCCACAGATACAACTAATGCATGAAATTACCAACTTAAAGAATCTAGTTTCAAATTCTGAAGCATACAATGAGGAACTTAAGGTGAGCCTCTCCATGCATTTACGTGCAGTAAGAATTGTATGAAATGTTCTTGATTTGTTTATCTTGAACTACTATATCTGCTGTGGACATGATAGACATCATTGGGCTTTGGTTAGTCTTACCAGCTAAAAGGAGGATATGTCTAAAACCCATGAACTCTTTCTGTGTAGGTTTTGATAAATTCTGACCTGAAAAACCAAACTAGGCACTAAAATATTCCTTGTCTCTTTTTCCTTCAACTTTTAGGCAGAAAACAATTCCAAATCAGAACAGCTGAAAGAGAAAGACAACGAAATAAAGATATTACAGAATCTTGTGGAAGAATTACAAAAAGCAAGAGTGGAAAAAGAGATATCTTTTTCAGTGGTAAACCTCAGTTTTCTGCTGGGTTGTATTCACATTTTAACCACATTATAATGAACATGTTTTCTTTATTATGTCTAAATAATCTTTTAATTTTTTGAATATTTTTCAGGGAGATTCTGATAAGCTAGTTGAGGAAATTCAGCAACTGAATAAATCCCTCTTAGATAGTGAAGCCATAGCCTTGGATGCCAAAAAAGAATCTGCTTTTCTCAGAACCGAAAATTTGGAGCTGAAGGAGAAGATGGCAAGTACTCGTTGAACTGCATTTACAGCTGTACCGAATGCTAAGGGCCTATCTGCTTCCAGACTAGTGAAGAAGGCAATCAGAGTAGTGGAGCACAAGCTTCACAAGAAAGCACAAGTCATTAGCTTTCTCAAAATATTCTAAGTCATCTTTTTATTATGAAATTCATGGAAAACAGCTCTTCAGGAAAGAGATAAAAAGAAAATAAACGTTTCTGCCACAGGAGTGGGTGGTTAGTTTTAGGTTTACCACTAGAAAGCCACAATAAAGGAACAGTTTTTAGGGCATTACTAGAACGTAAGATTTCAAACCTCATTTTACCAGAGAACAAAAGAGAATAAGAGATGTGAACTCAAAAGTGGTATGGAGCTTAGTTTGAGCTTTGAAGGAGTAAAGACCAAATAGTAGCAGCAGATACAGCCCTGACCTCTAAGGTATGTTTTCTGAGAGGGCTCTGACAAGAATGCAGTTGTTAAATATTGGCTTATTCGGCCATATTTATCAAAGGCAAAGCTGTTCAGAGTGACAGCAGAAAAATGTACCAGATCCAGTATTTAAATGATAAGCAAGTAGACTTTTATTCTGTGTGTGACTTGCATGTTTTATTGTTTTCCTGAAGAATGAACTCTTAAATAATCACAACCAAATGCAAAAGGATGTTCAATTATATCAAAGCCAAATAGAAGCGGGAAAAGCCAGTTACCAAAAAATGCAAGCTGACTTGCAGAGAGAGCTGCAATCTGTATTTCAAGAAAACTTAAGACTAACTTCACTCATGGAGGGTAAAGTTCCAAAAGGTACTGTTCCAGGTGGTGCTTGTTCCCCTCACCCCATTTCCTCCCTTTTTCTTGTCTTGGGGAGGGGGAAATAGGGAAGACTTCACCTTTTGTTTTCCTGAATACTTGGAGATTCTGACAATATAAAAATACTGGAGTATCTGGTATGTAGTAACTGCTTTAGCATGTTCTTGAACGTTTTGGAAAACTAGAACTTATGGAATGTTTTATGTTTTGCACAAAGACAGTTAAGTTAGTGAAGGCTGTTGGGGAGAATTTAAGATAAACTGGATGCCAACCTAACAAGTGATGACCAAATTCAGACCAGGAGCTTAATTGTTGGCCATCGTATAATTGTCTAGAATTATACTTATCTGACACCCAAAATGCATTATAAATCTTCTGCTTATTTTAAAACATGATTTTCTTCTCTTGCACTCGCTTATCAATCTAAACTTGTTTATTCTCTAGATTTGCTCACTCCTATGGAGCTGGAAAAAAAGGCAGCTGACTTAAAAGGAGAACTAGAAAAAGCTTTGAAAGAGAATGCACTTCTACAAAAACAAGTAAACGAGCTGTCAGAATTTCAGTCTCTACCAAATACTGTGGAGATGCAGAAGAAAGAGGTAAAAAAAACCCCTAACCTTTTTTTTCTTTATTTTATATTGTACTTGACTGGTAATGTATTAACGGAGGCCTATTGGATATGAAGTTTTAAAGCCAAAAGTTGTCTTGAATCAAATAACCTGAGACTTTACAATTAAGTTTGTTAAATTATTGTTTCTCAGGTATTTAATATTTTTACCTAGGAATAAGTTTAAGATCACATATTTAGTCAGAGTCTACTATAGTTTATCTGGATTTTCTAGTCCAACATTTGCGTGCCTATTTGCTGTGGTCACTATTGATAACTGAGTGTATAGATATAAGTGTTTGATCGTGGATACTATTCTAAAACTGATTTTTTATCAGTTTGGGCAAAGAGAATATGTCAAGATCTCTTGGCAGAAATGCTGCTTGAGAAGTGAGAGATTTACCTTGCAAATTGTGGAAAATGTGTGAGCAAACTATTTGTTTCCTGGCAGGTCAAAGCTCTAGACTAAGTGTGCTGGAAATATGTTTTAAGGGGTTTGTTTGCAAACACTTTCTGGGTTTCTTTGTCCTTAAATACCCGCTACTAAGTATGTGCAATGAAAACTATTCAAGGCAAGTAATCTCACCAGCTCATTAACACTTTGCAAAAAGTTCCAAACCATCCAGTGGTCTACTTCCACTAATCAACAAAACTTCATTAGATGGTAACAACTTGATAAACTCTGTATCATGAAGAAAGTATTGATACACCTAAATATTCAGTTTAGGAGTCCAGTCTTAGCTCAGACATAGGAAAAAAGAAGTAGTAAAGAACATCTAGAGTTAGAGGAGTGATTTCCAGAATTTGGAAGGGGCTTGACTGTCTTCCCTCTCTTTTAAGGATTCCTTGCTGGACAGTTCCCTACCAACAAAGCAAAACTGTATTTTGAAATATGCTTGCCTGTACTTTATTTCCTATATCTGCATATGTACATGGTTTTTAGTAGTTATGACAAATACTGATTGAGAAAATACTGTTAATATTGCTTTTCTGTTGGCAGATTATCGAAAAATGTGAGGAGTTATGTTTATTAAAATTGGAAAATGAAAAGCTGCTTTCTGAAGTAGCTGATAATGAAATTAAACTTAAACACATGACTGAAGAAATTGAAAAATCAAAAGATGATTTAGCAGATGCACAACTGAAATATATGAAGTCTGATCAAGAATATGTGGCACTTAAACAGCTTCATGAAGAAATGGAACAAAAATACATAGCTACATCAGAAAATAATGAAAAAATGAAGCTCCAAATAGAATGTCTTTCTAAAGAAGCACAAGAGTCTAAAACAACTTTGGATGAAATTAAATTAGAGGTCAGTGTCACCTTGTTCTTTTTTACAGACAAGACTTGAGAAATTAACTTATAGTATTGAAAAAAGGAAAAAAGTTTTGGAGGAGTACTCTTAAAGCTATAAGTGACAATATCATTGGTTTCCTCTAGCATGAGTGGATATTACTTATTCTATGCCAAGGGTATAATGCTGAAGGATTATGCTTTTCAATGGTCTTTTTTTTTGTAGGCAAAGAAGTGTATATATTGCTCCAGGTTCTCCTTCCTTACTTGATCTTTTAATTCTTCTTTTCCCATTCCTAAGTTATATCTTTATTATGTAATTTTTTTTTTAATGCCACTCTGACCTTCTCTATATAAAGTCATAGAAACAAAGTGGAGACCTTTTAGAACACAAGATATTCAAACCAAAGAGAATTTCTACAGAAATTAGGCATTAGAAAGGAAAAAAAAAAATTAAAGAAAACATTTAAGAAGAAAAGGGAGCCAAAGATACATATTTTTGACCAAGCTTTGGGCACTGGTGTGTCTGTCATATTCCAGCTATGGATTTGATAATTCCTAAAATATGCTACAGTTTCATGTGTGGTGCTATGTTTTAGTAAGACTTTTGCTTCTAAGAAGAAACCACAGGAACGTGGTCCAAAAATTACTTATTTGATGTGGGCAAGAGTATAAGCAGTAACTTAAAGAGAAATTATGAACTTCCTATCTCTCAGCCCTTCTAAGCTCATATAAGATTCTGTGAGAACATGTACACATAATGGAGTTCTATATTCCAATGAAAATATCTGACCTTTTCCTTTGCAATCTAAAGCTCTCGAGCAAAATGAAAGAACTGGAAGAAAAAACAGCAGAACAAAAACAACTTCTTGAGCTAAGAGAAGATTTTATTCAGACTCAGCAGAAGTTAAATGAAATGGAGCAATTAAAAGTGGAAGAAAGGAAGAGTGAATTGAGACTGGAAGCTAAGGATTCAGAGATCCAGGCAGTTCTTCAGCAGCTAACTGAATGTCAGGAAGAAATAAAAACTCTAACCCAGGAAAAAGATTACCTGAAGCAAAAAGCAGAGTCTCTCCAAGCTGAGACAGACCAACTCAAAGAGGATATAAAGGACACTGTTTCAATGGTAGGAATTTTGACCTTATAGAAATAGACCATACATGTTAAGAGGAGGAGCGTAAGAACACTATAAATTGTATTGAAATATTTAGGGGAGCATGGGAGCAGCAGGTTGTGTGGGATTTTTAAATCAAGGAATACCTACTAATATTGCAAGATATTTGTATTTTCTTTGTGGATTTTCTCTCTTGTATTCTAAAGAACATCTTGGCACATGAAGAACTGAGAAATACGCAAAGTTCTCTCAAGCAATCCCAGGCCACTGTCAAGAAGTTGGAAAAATATATTTCTGAAAAAGAATCTCAAGTTTTGAGTGTTGAAGAGGCACTAGGAAAGACCATTAAAGAACTCGAAACACAGGTAAAACTTGATGTTTAAAAATTTAAAATAAAAATGCTTTCAGTGTGTTTTCCAGTAGCATGAGAACAAGCCAGTCAACCTTCTTATAGTCTCTTCTGCATGTTCTTAGAAAATTTCTAGCTCCTTGGTAGCAGGTGGGCAAGAAAATAGCATTGCTTAACCCAAGCCTTTACCAGCTGCTGATCTGTTTCTGTTGAGCTTCAAGCTGTGAAATACACTCTAATAAACTTTTGCTTAACTAGTGTGCCCCTTGGTTGTGGATTTGAGTGTTGGCATTTGATGCCAAATGGAAGATGAGATAAGAGTTACTTAAAGGGAAGGAATGAGGGTAATGATTTATAATACTCAGTCCCACTGAGAAGTGTAATGTGATTGGCAATGGCAACTCAGTTCCCAACATAAAGCAGAAAGCTAAAGCACTGGTTTTTGTGCCAGTACATACAATGAGATTTTTCTTGAAGTATATTAGCTACCAGCAAGTCTATGGTTTTGTATTCAGCATTTGTGTGCGTTAGAACAGATGCAACAGTATAACAAAATGGGTTTCTTTGGCTTCTTCCTCTAAGACTTTTTTTACATAAAAATGTGGCCAATATTGCACCAGATATTGCTAAAAGGTTAGAAATTAAAATATAACAGGTGACAAAGGCCACAGACTTGGATTTGTAGCTTTTCTGGTTTGGTCAGAGTGCTTTGATGTTAAAAATACTGCAGAAGAGTGAATCAAACAAAACTGTTGCATTCAATTTTGAACTGATGGAAACACTGTCCTTGCATATTTTTTTTAATAGATCTCACAAATGACAGAAGAAATGAAAATCGTCAAATCAGAGAGAGATCAGCTTGCTGAGGAAAAATCAGAAAGTCGTTGCTGGAGAGAAAGTGATCAGCTTC